TGAAACGAATGAGCTCGGACCTAATCTCTTGTCTGGCGCCAATTGGGCGTTTAAACCACACCCAAAGACGCTGAACGGGCGGGAACTGGTCAGTGGGTCGTCCCGATGATGCAATGGAACAGCTGCGACTACTACAATGGACAATCAAATAATTGACAAATCTAAATAAAAGATAAACGACACGATACGGCAATAACGCGAGCTTCTCTTCAAATGTGAGCAGAACGAGCCAGAAACTCTCGAAAACACGAAGTATTACGAAATCCCCGCAGTCGTTGCCACAACAGCACGATGCCCTTTTGTTGCTGCAGTCGTCGGCACCCTGAAAGCTGTGACGGAAGCGGACCGAGAAGCATGTGGGTATCGTCTGGTCACGGGATCTCCAAAACGAGTCGGGAGCGCGATGGGCGGCAGTTTTATCTGTTGGAACCGACTGTCGGATCACTAACGATCAGCTGGAAGGGACAAATTGAAGAATGAAGTTCAAAGCAAAAGAAAGTTATGAGGAGAAGCGCTGTCACGTGAAAGTTTATGGCCAAATCTCTTTGAGGTGGCGTGCAGTGTCAGCTTGATCATAAAAGTGCAAGGCTTTGGATTTGTGAGAAGATATGGCTGTGTTCCGCTCCTCAGAGCTAATATTGACAGCCATCTAGCAAAGAAAAGGAGCTGCCTGTCACTTGAAACCATATACCCTAACATTAATGCGAATCTGTTGAACGTAGGAATAAGAAATTAGCTTCTGAATGACCGATCCCTTCTATCGCCACCTTCTAAAAATCACGCAAAATGTGGCGGTAACCTTAGTTGAATTAAATTGAATAATTATTATGGAGATAAAATTTAAGAACCTGTGGTCAAGATATCCTTATACAGTCGTTATAGATATCTAATCCTCGAATACAAGGTCCAGAAACCTGGAGGCACTGGTGTTCTATGAAAGTCTAGGGCTAATACGACGGAGCAAATTTGCGATCCTCTATAAACTTCTGAGGTTCTAGTAAAAAAATAGATCGACCACATCAGAGCAGCACAAATTAAATGATCCACGTAAACTAAATAAAAGAAAAAAGCAAAAACTCGAACGAGCAAAAATACACAAATTGAAGGAAATTCGATAAATAAAATTGGACGTTTTCAGCCAATTATCCTTCTACCATAATACGTTACTAAGCTTTATATAAACACACTATCCATCCAGTTTCAAACAGTTCGACGAGTTATAACAAAGGAAACATTTACAGAATGATCAATGCATTAAACAGAGAACAAATAAGGAAAAAACATGCATTATAATGATTAATGACATCTAATCTGCACGTTGGAACTCTTAGATGAAAATGAATCTTCGAATATTTGGCCTTTTTGCGAGACACACGATGAAATACTATAGAAACCCATAACGATATAGTGATGAAAGTGCTTACTAACCACTACCTGGCATGAAAAATTCAGAACAAAAAAAAACCTCTTCACAAACAGACAACAAATGAGACGAGAATTGATGGCAGCATCATAAATATCTCTATCACATAAGAAGTTAGCGTTATTCAGGAGCATCGTCTATGCCTCCGGCGGTTATAGCAAACGTGGCTTCAGCTTCGGGTAAACTGGGACTTTGATGGACCTTGCATATTCGGGTTTCACCACGACCTTTCCGCAATCCCAACCTGAACTCATAGAGGTGAGAGTAGAAACTAACGCAGATATTATCATTAAAACATTAATGAACAATGTTCGTATCTGTTTACACAAAAAAAACACACACAATAAATCCGGTTCAGAATCAGGTCAGGGAATGGGTGTCTGCAAGGCGTGTCCTTGTCAGGATAATTTACTGAACTAGCGATAGTGACCAATTTACTCAAAACAAAAACCAGACTTTGAGCCAAAAGGCCGAGAAGCGACCAGCTGATTTTAAACTTCCTCCTGTGAACCACTATATGTGACCAAACTACAAAACCTAGAAAAAAGCATACCTACCTTAACCACAGCCTAGGCTTAGGGCAAGGCTAACTTAGAGTTCGGTCAGGATTAAGTTCTTTGAAGAGGCAGCTCATGTTGTGGAGCACTGCTTTCAGACAATTTCAGCGATCTCTGCTTATTTCCGCGATTCCAGCAATTTCGACAATCGCAAAAACTGCGCCAATCGCGGAACTCGCTGTAGCGAATTGGTGCCAGTCGCCCAAGTAGCAAAGTCTGACACCGATGAAATCCTCCTTGCCAATGGCAAACTAGTACACAAACCCCCGTTTAGTGCAGTTTCTCATCTAACGATAAGTAACGAAGTGTTGAAAAGAGAAAGATGAAATGTTGGCAAGAACATTCAATACTTATGTTATAAAACGAACAAAAGAGAAGCAAAACAGTGAAAGCGCTAAGCTAAGTACGACCTACCGAGTTGTGCTCATATGAGCAATGATGTTCCCACCAATTGGTTTTTTCGCATCCATTTGGAACATGGAGGCTCCGTCCACTTGTGCTACCACCTGCAGCGGAGAAAAATAATTAAAATGAGATGAATTCAAAGAAATACCGATGACTTTCACGAATGGTTATAAAGGGAGCAGCCAAAAATTAAAAGAAAACTCATTATGACATGAGCAAACGCAACGGAAAGTGTTCGCGAAAATCTAGAATGGCGCCTTATCGATCCATGAAGGAGGTAGTTGACAACAGGCGGCTAAGGGGGCTCGCGAAACATGGACACTTCAGGGAGCTCCATAGTATGATCCACATATCCTAAACTTATACTGGTACTGCACATCGCCAGATTAGGTTAGCTGTCAAAATCACCCACAGCGGTAAGGCTTTAGCATCCGAACATCCCACCACGCCTGACCAAGAGTTCCCTCCTTGAAACCCTGAAGAGACACCTTCTCTACTCACGGGAAATAAGCGCACAGGAGAGAAAGAACTAATCTGCCAACTACACCACGCAACTCATACCGTCTTATCCCATGCCAATAATGTATTTAGAAGGAGCTACTTTTCTAAAGGAGACAAACATAACCCCTATTGAAGAAAGGCGGCTTAATTCACAAAATGTGACCCTGTGACGGCAAGTACTCGTTAGACATTTGACAGAACGGCCGATGCCTTAA